GCTGTTGCCAGGCCCTCCTCTCACCCAGCCATTCCCTCAACTCACATCGGTCACCATGGAGAGGTCAATGACAAAGCACAGGGCACAGCAGAGGGCCACCGAGATCTCCCTTTGGAAACGGAAGTAGTAGGAGGCTGGGAGCAAGTCGAGCAGGCCGGTGACGAAGCCCTCCACACCTACAAACTGTGGCCACGGCAGCTCAGACCCAGCTCTGCCCCAGGCCACCGCCCACCCAGCCCAGCCCTGCCCTGCAGCAGCCACCTTCCTAGCCCCAGGCCGCCACCAACCTGGCTGTCCAGGCCAAGCAGTAGCAGCATGAAGAAGAACAGGGCTGCCCAGAGTGGGGCCACAGGCATCAGTGTAACGGCCCGAGGATAGGCGATGAAGGCCAGGCCAGGCCCTGTGAGGAGAGGCACAGGCTGGAGACCCCATACATGGCCACCCTCAGATTCCCCTCGGAGGTGTTGGAGCAACAGACCAGGACGCGGGCTGTGGTCTCCACACAGGTGTGTGCCTGTGAGAGCCAGCAGCCTCTGGCCCCAAGCGAGCAGATGAGTTCAGGTGGAATCTGTAGCTGTGTTCTGGGGCTGGGTGGGGCTGGGGGCTTCACCTGATTCTGCCACCTTGGATATGTGAACCCCCTGCTCTGCGGCCATGAAGCCCAAGATGGAGAAGACCACGAAGCCAGCGAAGAAGCTGGTCCCGCTGTTGATGAGGGCGAGGATGATGGCGTCCCTGAGGGTGGAAGGACAGAGTACCCTGGGTAGGCTGCCTGCCACTCAGGAGCGGGGGTGGGGGCTGTGGTGCCTACTTGTAGCAGTTGTTGTTGAAGCGGTTGTAGCTGCCCAGGGCGGTGAGGGCTCCCAGGCCAATGGCGTAGGAGAAGAAAATCTGGGTGCCAGCATCAATCCACACCTGCGGGGGCAGCCAGGACAGAGGTAGTGGGAGGGGCTTGGTCGCCCCGCCCATCCGTCCCTCAGCCCTGCTGCGGCTCGTGCGGTCGCCTCACCTGAGGGGACCCCAGCTTGGACCAGTCAGGCTTGAGATAGTAGACGATACCATCCAAGGCTCCAGGCAGCAGCACCCCGCGCACCAGCAGCACAACCAGGACCACGTAGGGGAATGTAGCAGTGAAGTACACGATCTAGGGGGCCAGGCTGCTCAGAAGGGCTCCCAGGCCCTGCTGCCGCCCCCACCCTATGGTCCCCAGCACCGCAGAGCACTTGCCAGAGGGGAGGGCAGGCGACAGCCCCTTGTTGTACCCCTTCGAGCCATGGCTGGAGTGCTGACAGCACTCTGGCAAGCAGAGCTCAGATGCAGAGGGAGGGGAAGGCAGGCCGGGCCCCTGTGCGCACGTGCAAGGACTGGCGGGGTAGCACGGCCACGGTGCAGGACAAGCCTGTGGGGGCCGCCTTTGGAGCACAGCCCTGTGGTGCCTAGGCAGGGAGTGGGGGATATCAGCTGGGGCAAGTGCGTGCCTCCTGTGCCCTGACCTCCAGGCCATCCTCTGTAGAGAGCAGGGCTCTTGGTTAGTACTTGCAGATTGTGACTGGGCCACACAGAAGGTGACAGAAAGATGGCAAAGGCCTCCGCCTCCTCACCCACTGTCCAGGCTGGGCAACCGAGACCATCAACACAAACTCAGGCCGTGAGTGAGGAATGGAGAGAAAAACAAGGGCAGGCGGGAGAGGGTAGGGAGAAAGTGGCCTGGATCCCAGGACCTCTCTCCTGCTCGGGCCATCACCCCTGGCTACAGCAGTGTCCCCAGCCCAGAGATGCATCCCTCCTGGAGCAGGGCCGCCCCTGCCCCACCCGAGCCCGGCAGTACCTTTCCCGTGGATTTGACCCCTTTCCAGACACAGAAGTAGACCAGCACCCAGCAGGCCAGCAGACAGAGGGTCACCTCCCAGTTGAGGGCCCCCGGCACCTCCAGGCCCCCAGACAGCCGCAAGACTTTGTTCCTAGGGAACCGGGCGTGGGGGGAGAGAGCACACGAGGGCTGAGTCTGCAGAGGGTCCAGGGACCGGGCTCCACCTCGAGCGGTCGTGGTTCCTCCCTCCCGCAGCCCTTCGTCCAGCTGGGCCGGGTCTTCAGGTTCTGCTGCCACCATGTGCACGGGAGCCCCCAGCTGGGCCTAGGAGGGGCGCGCTGCCAACCTGACCCTGCCCCCCCCGCCACCCTACTGAAGCACAGACACATGCAACCTTGTCAGGCAGGCATGTTAGAATCAAAGCGACAAACATTGCCAAAGCTAGAAAGGGCACCCCAGCCCCGGGCCCCGCTCGCTAAGGATAGGTAGGGGGTCTCCCAGTGAGTGGCCCTTATGTCCCTAGGGGCAGGCTAGGTATCAGGAAGGGACCAGCTTGGTCCAGAGGCGCTTGACTCACTCCCAGAACTCGATGACTGGGGAGCGGCGGTCAGCAAGCTGGTCACATGTGAGGTTGGCCATGCTGGCATTGGCACAGTCCTCATGGCGGAAGATCTCCACACAGTCGGGAGTGTTCCAGGCGTGGCCACACGTGGCCCAGGGTAGCGTGGTGGTGAAGGACTTCACCAGGTAATAGAAGCCCCAGGCCAGCACCATGATGTAGTAGGTGTTGCAGTAGAAGACGATCACCATGGAGGCGTAGCCCAGGCCTGGGGAGGAGCAGGTTGTCCCGTGCCGACTCCCCGGCTGCCTCCCTGCTGCTCCATCACCCCCTGCTGAGCCCCTGCACCAACGCCTCCTCTGTCCATCCTCCCAGGCCCGGGCAGGGGGTGTGTCAGTGCTGGTCGGCCTAACTGCCCATTCTGTCTTTCCCACCGTGTGCCCTGCCGTCTGCTTCTCCAGTTGATGCCCTGAGTTCCCACAGTGGGCTGCTTGCTTGGGCTAGCCTTTTAGTCACCTGTGGTGGTATGGGAGACGACCAGTCATGGCGCCAGGGGACAATGCTAGCAGGAGCTGCCTACCTGTGCACTTTGCCCAAGTTCACTCCATGGTCTGCACATCTCCCAAGCTTCCCTTCAAGACCCAGCCTGAGGGAGGAGGTGCAGCGGGGCGGGGGAGGGGGGCGAATAACACCTAGGCCCCTGGCCCGGCGCTCACCGGTAGGGCAAGAGTGCTGGAGCGGGTGCCAGCTGCAGTTGGCTCCCATGGCCATGGGAAAGGAGCGGGCGGACCCGGCCTGCAACAGCTCACCTTTGAACAGGGGACAGATGTTCCAGACATTGATGCTGCCAGCTTTCATAAACTGGCCTAGCGAGATCTCCAAGAAGAAAATGGGGATCCCTCCTACCAGGGCGATCAGCACATAGGGAATAAGGAAGACACCTAGGCAGGGTGAGAGGGAGGCATGGGGGGCCCTTAACCAGGAGACGGCTGCAAACCCACCCCAACTCCCGCTCACCACCAGAAACCACCAGAGGCCCAGGCTGAGCTCAGCTTTGGGTTCCACCCTGACCCCATAACTTCCCACTGGACGAATCAGTGCAGGCGGTGGCTGCTGACTCAGGACCAAGACCATTACAGCCCCATTCCCTAGGCTCTGTCTGTGTGTGGTGGTGGTGGGGTGGTCCCAACCTTTAGGGCTGCCATCAGCACTAGTGCCTAGAATGACCTGACAAGCCTTGGGGACACGCACACTCCTGCCTACCAGGCAGCACTGCAAGGAGTAGCAAGGCGTGCACGTGCTATGTGTGCCCAGCACCAAGGCCGGGGGGGGGGGGTTCTGGTGGAGGGCTGTGAAGGCAGAGTAGGGCCTCACCTGCCCTTATGAGGGAGTGTGGGTGGCAGTCCTGTGCAAGGACAGAGGGAAACGGGTGGGACAAGGGGGACCACAAGCTCCAGGGGGCCAGGCTGGAGCCCCCGTGTCCTCGGCTGGTACCCCTGTCCCCATCCCAGCTCTCTACACTGCTCCCTGGCTGGGCCGGCCTGGCCTCTGCTTCCAGCATCCTTCTGGTGTATGACCTTGGGGCAATGCCTCCCTACTGCTCTTCAGTGGCCCACCCATCGCCTGGGCACTCGGGCCTCCTGGTGCTGGCAGTGCTGCTGTGCCAGTCACAGGACACATGCGTGCCCATCACTGTTGCTAAGCTGGGCTTTGGCGGGCACGGGGCGAGCATGCACTGTGTCCAGCGGTGGCGCCAGACGGGCCAGGCCGCAGGCTTCCCAAGGCTGGCGTAGGCACCCAGTGTTCCAGGCCCAGGCCAGAGGGGAGGGGAGGGAAGGGAGGGAAGGGAAGGGAGGGGAGAGGAGGGGAGGGAAAAGCAAGGAAAGGAGGGAAGGGAAGGGAGGGGGGGAAGGCAGGGCAGGGCGTGGGGGAGGGATAGTGGCCCATTGTGTGTGTTCCTGTGCCACTTGTGGGCCTGCTGGGGTGGGGGTGGGGGCAGCCAGGACTTCTCATTGCTTGGAGCCCCCTCCGCAGAAGGCCCTCCTGGCTTTCCTCCCCATCTCTGTGGCCAATCATTCCCACTCTGGCCCTGCAGTTTGGGACCAGCAGCCCCTGGGTTCTGCAAGGGAGAGGTTCCTTGCCCCGCCCCCCCCCTCGCTGCCAGGCACATGACTGGTGAGGGGGGTGGAGGCAGCGGGACTGGGCCACCCAGTGGCCCCAGGCTGGCTAGGGGCTGGCCCCGGCTCTCAGCCCTAGGGGGACCTCCCCAGGGTCTGGACTTCGCCCCTCGGCTCTGGTGGGCCAGAGGCAAGCAAAGCAGTAAGGTGCCCCTGGGTAGGACGGGACTGACCCCTGGGGTGGGGGCGCTCACCTCCGCCATTCTTGTAGCACAGGTAGGGGAAGCGCCACACGTTTCCCAAGCCCACGGCGAAGCCCACGCACGACATGATAAAGTCCATCTGGCGCGTCCAGGTCTCCCGTGGTGGTACGGTCAGACAGCCTCCGGGCGCCCCCAGGCCCGCGGGGCCGTCGCCCTTGGCCGGGGCCCCGTCGGGCCCAGACGCGATGAGGGGGCCCTTCTTCTCGTCACCGGACACGCTGTAGATGCCGTTCTCGGCGCTCTTCTTCGCCATGGCCCCGGCGGGCCGTACGGCCGGGCCGGGGGTCGCGGCGCCTCGGTGGGAGCAGGCGGGCGGGCAGGGGTCGCCGGCGTCACCCAGTGGGGGAGGAGGGCCCCGAAGGCTCGGGCCCGCCCGGGCCGGGGGACGGGGCGACGGACGAGCGGGTGGGCGGGCGGGGTGCGGGACGGCGGGGGGCTGCGCAGTCAGAAGCAGTCCACGAAGCACTTGAAAGTGAGTCTGAAGAATCTCATGTGTGTCGGGGGCCCGGGGGCGCGCGGGCGGCGGCGGGGCCCGGCCGAGCGGCGGCGGCGGCTCCCGAGGCTCTTGCCCGCGGCTCGGGCGGCGGCGGCGGTTCTCCGGGTCCGAGGCTCACCCTAGAGGGGCGCGGGTGGCATCAGGCGCCCAGTGTCTGCAAATGGGGATCGGAGCAGGGCTCCGTAGCCCGCACCCCCTCCCTCCTCGGCCCGCGTCCCCGGCAGTTACCCTGTTCGCCGGCGGCTTCAGCGGCGGCGACGGCGGCGGCCCGGGCGCGCCTCGCCCCCTCCTTCCCGGCGGCGGCGGCTCCAGCCGCTCTCGGGGCCGCGGCGGGCTCAGCGACTCGCCACCGCACTCCGACCGGCCCTCTCTTCCCCGGCCGGATCGGCAGCTGCTTAAAAAGCGACTCCGGGGGTGATGTCACTGTCGCCCCACCCCCACGACCGTGCAGTTCCCCTCCCCCTCTCCCATCCCTCCCGCCCGCCCTCCCCGTCACTCCGCCCACCTCCTCCCGCCCTTCTCCCAAGGAGGAGACGCCGCTCCAGCAGGGAGTGGGATGGTTGCTACCTGGGGCGCTGGCCAGCAACCCACCCCTACTCCACGCCAGCACCTCGCCACAGCTTCACCTGGTTCCGCCGAGCCCGCTCTCCCTTCCTGGCTCCTCCCTGGCCGTTTTCCAGCCAACCAGCGCGCCCCCCTTCCCTTCTCTTCCCCTCTTCCTTCAGGCTGGATCTGTCCAGCCTGTCCCATCTCCGACCCTTGTGAGAGCTGCAGCTCCAGGCTGGCCAAAGGTTGGGTACCAAAAAGGCAGCGGGCTTTCCGGCCTCCCCAAGGGCCGGGCGGCTGATTCGCCTGGAGAGCAAAGGTTGGGAGGGGGGTACCACCTGCCGCTGTGCTGTGGCATTCTGCCCCAGGCCTCCTGGCACGAAGCCCTTCCTAAGAGGCACAGTGGTGAAACGCAGGAGGTCAGGGTCAAAGGGAGATTCTAGACGCACCTGTGCCTGATGTAGGGGCCAGTAGGGGCTTTGCACTCTGCCGGAGGCCCTGGGGAGGAGTAGGATAAGGCTGCCCCCTGGTGCCTGGAAGGTGCACAGACCCTCCCCCGGAGGTCCACAGGCCAGGTCCCCTCTCCAGGCGCTTGTGTTGCTGGAGCGTGACCTCAAGGCCTCCCCAGTCAGGGCAAGGCGGCTGTGCTGCCCGTCCAGCACCAGCTACGTGGCTCATTTGAAATTTTCCCTGAAAGAGGCTAGCCTGGAAGTAGGGTAGTAAAGGAAGGGGTCATTATCCTGGCTGGAGGGCAGCAGGGGTAAAGTGTACCCTCACCCCCACCCCCCACCCCCCACCCCAGGGCCACGCTCCTGGATCTAATTGCAGACACGACCGTCCCCATACGGATCATCCCGTTAAGCTAAGCCCACAGCTATCCGGCCAGCTTTAGGAAGAAAAGCAGTTCCGGCCCAAGCCAGATTGAACCTGCTAGGTGAGGGAGGGGCAGCATCTCTGCCTCACTAAGGGTGTGTGTGTGTGTGTGTGTGTGTGTGTGTGTGTGTGTGTGTGTGGTGTGCAGGTGGGACACACAAGTCATCTCTGCTCACACTGATCAGAGTGGGAGTTGGTGAGCCTGCAGGTGGCACAGTCATACTGTGTATCCCAAGATCTCCAACTTGGGTCTTCTCTGCCCCAGCCTGGGGCTGAAGGTGGCCAAGGTGCTCCAGAACAGCCAGGCCCACCTAGACAAGAGGACAGAGCAGGCAGTGTCCTGGCCTGACTCACTCGCTGACAACCCCCTGGCACTGGAGAGAAGAGACGAGGCGATCGGGTGAAGTACACCCAAGACCTCATTCTGGCAGAGGGCTGAGGGCAGCTGATGCCCACAGAGTGAGGCAGGGTGGGGGAAGGAAGAAGGGAGGTGGGGGAGACGCAGCAGCTGGCAATGACCCGGGGAAGGCTGCTTGGAGAATCAAGGGAAGTGGGGACGTGACTGGGTGCAGGTGACTCAAGACTGTAAGAGCTGCCTTTGGAGAGGGGTGTGGGCTGCAGATAGGCCGGGCTGGAGAAGCACGTGGGAGAGACAGTACCAACAGCTCGGGGAAGTGGCTATTGCTGTGGGGAGTGCCGGGTGAACAGTCTGACTGGGAGCCAAGGGTGGGGCCCTCCTCCACCCTGGGACGGTGACTGGGTGGGGAAGCAGGTTCCAAGGCCAGTGGCAGGAACAGCAGGGAGCTGCCAGCTGGAGTGGGGTGGAGGGGGGCGGACTCTGTGGGAGCAGGGGCGGCTGCCAAAGAGGGGGAAGTGGCAGGACTGGCAGGGAAGGGTGCGGTGGTTGCTGAGCGGCCCTGCTGGGGCCTGCTGCGGGGCCATTGCCACCTGTGTCAGCAGCCTGCAGACCCTGGGGCTCCCCAGCTGGAGGGGGCCAGGTGGGGCAACCCTCCTCTCCTGTACTGACTCAGCAGGGCCACATCTGCTCTGCGCCTGGCCTGGCAAGCTCACCATCTCCCGCTTCCTCGCTTCCTCGCTTGCTGGGCTGGTTCTTTGGCCCCTCACTGCCAATTCCTGGAGGCGGTGCTATGGTGAGCCCCTGCATAGCCACAGGTAGCCCTCGATGCACAAGTCAGGGCTTTTGTGCTTGAGCTTCCCCGGCCCACCCCTGTGCTACGGTCCCCAGCTGCTTGTGGGAGATGCGGGAACCCTCGCACAAGCTGCAGCAGGGCCTTCAGCCTTGGAAAAACATCCCCAAGTTTGCAGCTACAGTGCCTGCCCTGGGGGCAACACCGCCTGTAAGACAGGTCCAGCCAACTTCTGCTGGTCCTGCCAGACCCCTGAGCCCACGTGGCTGTTCAACTGCTGTAGGAGCGGGTGGGGGCTCCCCGCTACTCATCTGGGCCCACCTGGAGCTTCTCTTTTGGACCCCAGGGTCACATGATAGGGATGAGGACAGCAAGCACTGACTGTGGCACACATGTTTGGGGGGTAGGGGTGGGAAGTGTGGGAATGGATCCTGTGTGTGGCTGTGGCTTGGGGTGGGCCTGCAGGAGGGTCTGGGTAGCTGGAGGTAGGGTGTGGGTGCCTGGTCTGGGCATAGTGAGCTTTGCAGTGGCAGTGAGCTGGGGACAGGACAGTGACCCTGGGGGTGGGTCATACAAGGGACCTGCAGCTCAGCTCTTGCAGTTGCTCACACTGGGTCACTCAGACCCTCTGAATTGCTTTTGTGCATTTTATGCAGACTAATCTTCTGTGTTAGAGGCATCACTGGGGCCAGGAGCCAAAGTTGCCCTGCCACCTGCCTGCCCCCTCTGTCCATTGCTTCCCTCTGTCCCTGACGTAGTGCGCAGCTCATAGCTCCTGGTGCTGCTCTGCACGGATGTCCTGACAGCTGGGGAGCCGACTGGCTCTCCTGCTTGGCCGGCCTGCTTGGGCCTGTTGCTTCCCTCGTGATCACGCCGGGTTGCCCGGAGGAGCAGCCGGGAGGCAAAGTGCCGTCGTCATCACACCCTATCGTTAGGCTGTGCCTGCCACACGGCTTATCACGCCGCTGCTGACCTTGGCCACCTGGCCCAGGCAGGCTGTGTCGTGTCTGTCCTTCACATTGTGTTCTGCGAGGCAGGAACTGGCGATGCGCAGCCCTCTGCTTTGGGCGGTTGGCTGTGGGAAACAGCTCCAGGAACTGTGGGGTTTTGTTCCTTGGCCCACTTTGATGGATGAGTCTGTCCTTTATTTGCAACACTGTACACTCCCACAGAGGGATTTGCAACTTCTCATAGCCCCATGTCACTGCACTTTGTGATCAGATCCGCCATCTGCAAGCATCGGGAGCTGTCGGTTAGCGCTTGTGTCCCTAGGACATACTCCTGTGTGTATGTGTGCATGTGCCTGCTTCCCGTCTGCGCCTGCGCTGGCGTTAGCCGTGGCTTCACGGAGCCGTACAGTCTCAGCTTGCTCAATGCCATTGAAATGCTGCAGTCCGCTGAGCTGAGAGAGCTCGGAGACACATCCACAGGGCCCTGAGGAGGCACAGGCTGTGTTAACCAGGTGTGTCCAGGTGTCGGCAGCGGCTGCACGCAGTGTAGCCTGAGGGCAGACAGGCCGCCTTCCGGCTCGCATCTCCAATCTCCCACTGGGAAGGAGATGGCTGTCTTGCATTTGGAGGATGAAGGGAGGTGCTTGTAGAATTGTGTGCTTTTTAAAACATTATTTATTTATTTATTTGAAAGGCAGAATTGAGAGAGAGAGAGAAAGAGAAACTTGCATGTGCTGGTTCACTTCCTAAACGGCTTCAACAGAAGGAAACTGGAGCAGCCGGGACTCGAACACTGTTCATATTGAATACTGGTGCAACAAGCAGTGACTTAAGCTGCAGTGCCGCAACACTGGTCCCCAGGGAAATGGCTTTTGTGCCTGTGCCCTGGCTGGCTTTGGGCTCACTCCAGGTAAGATGACTGGGAGGCAGAATAGCACACCCACAGAGCTATGAAGGTGAGTGTATTCCAGAGGGGAAAAAAGGCTTTCATGTATGTGGTTCAGTTAAGATCTCAAGAGGACATCCTGCTGGATTAGGGCCTTAAATCCCATGACAAGTGTCCTTAGGAGAAGACACGGAGGAGAAGTCCCCATGGCGACAGAGGCAGAAACAGCTGAAGAGGCAAGGTGGCTTTAAGCCACCACATCTGTTGTAGTTTGGGTAGTTTGTGACAGCAGCCCTCAGGAAACTGAAGTCAAATACAAATGCAAACTCCATGGCCTTTGCGCATGCACGCTTCGTGCTGCCTCGTGGGGAGGGCACATTCTTAGCGCCTATTAAGGTATGCAGGTGTCCGATTCCAGCCACCGCGTACACGCTGTGAGCTGTCCCCAGGCCTGCCCAGGCTCCAGGGACTGTTCCCTTCATAGTGAGTACACTGCGAGGGGAGGTCTGGAGAACAGGGCGGCCCGGGCCCCACCCGCCGCCATCATTGCTTGGTGGATGGGATTGGGGGCGACCTTGGGCCTGCGGCTTAAAACTTCCAGGTGTCCCTGTCGGCTACTGGTGGGTGCCAGGCCAGGATGTCTTCATGCTCAGAGCCCCGATTCCAGTCACCGCAAGCTGTCCTTGGGCGGTCAGTGTGCCATTTGGCGCCAGGCTCCGCCTGCTGGCTGCCTAGCTCTGGGGTATTGGGGCTTTGAATTGCTGCTTAGGTAGCTCCATGTTGAGCCCACTGTGCTTCTGTTTTTCTCAAATCAATCCTGAAGACTCCCAATGACAGAGTAACTTTTCCTTTGAAGGTAAGGGAGGGTACTGAGACCTGGCATTTACAGGACAGGGACCAGATGATCTTTATGGAGAAGAATGATACACTGGCCTCCTTTGAGTCCTGTGTAGAACTTGTAATCACTGAACAATGCTGACGAGCGGACACCAGTCCATGCAGAAGCTAAGG